AAGGAAGGTGGGCGATTGCTTGGGCTGGGCACATGCTTGGAGAGATAGGATGTGTGGCACGACAACCTGGCTGTAGGAATCTATATACCGGGATCTGACTGCGCGAATCTTGGGGTTCGACTTCACGTTCGTCCTCGCAGCTCACTTCTTAGGGCCGTGAATTGACTCGTCTCTCTTCCAGGAGCGACCAACTCCTCTTTTCACATTCTCTACTTGCCTACGCCCATCCGTCAAGATGGCTGCAATCAAGAATATCCTCATGAAGCTCTCGCCTGCGGCGAAGAAGAGCGAAGATGGACGCGACATGTTCTCGAACCGCATCCAATTCGTTCTCTGTGCCATGGGCGGTGCTGTTGGTCTCGGCAACCTGTTGCGCTTCCCATCCGTCGTGTACAACAACTACGGTCTCCAGTTCTTCATCCCGTACCTGATCGCGCTCTTCTTCGTCGCTTTGCCAGTCCTGGTCCTCGAGATCTCCCTCGGAAGCGTTTACCGTGGTGGCCCGGTTCTCGCGTGGCACAGCAACAACAAGCGCGCCAAAGGCATTGGTCTAGCGGTCGTCTTCAATGGCGTAAGTGAGATGGACTTGCAATGATGAAGAAAGAGCGCTGACTAGCTATCACAGTACGTTGTTGTTACCTACTACGTTCCCCTCCTAGCATGGATCATGAAGTACTTCTCCCGCAGTTTTCAAAGCCCCCTGCCATGGAAAGACCAGGACCTCAGCGAATACTTCGCCAACGTCATCGTTGCCAACACGGACGCAGCTTCAACTGGTAGCTTCAATCCCGATGGCAGCGTCGCTTCGTACACTCAATACGTCGGGACTGGTATGCTCGGAGAGACGGCAGGTTGGGCCATCTTCACCTGGTTCGTCACCTGGTTGTGCGTCTTTAGGGGTGTCGGTATGACCGGGCGCGTAATCTACGTTACTATGGGTCTCCCGCTCGTTCTCATCATCATCCTCATCGGCCGTGGAGTTTCGCTGCCTAATGCTGGAGAGGGTATTAAGCTTTACTTCGCAACATGGCGCACGAGTGCACTTGAGAGCCCTCAGATTTGGCAAGCGGCTTTTGGTCAGATCTTCTTCTCTATCGGTGTTGGCTTCGGGTATGTTCGATTGCCCATCTCTGAAAAGAAGCATACTGACGTGTCTCTAGATACTTTACATCGTGGGCGTCTTACTGCTCGGCGCACTCCAATGCCGTACAAGATGCCCTTATCATTGCCTTCAGTAACTCTGCCGTTGAGGTCATCGCTGCCTTCTCGGTCTTTGGTGTTATCGGCTATCTGGAAATCGACCCTTCGAGCGGCACGCAGCTCGGTACCTTCGTTACAGGTTTCATCACGTATCCTGAGGCTCTTGCTCAAATGCCTGGTGCGCCATTCTGGTCTGTCGTCTTTTGTAAGTCTATGTCTGATATAACCCATCTGAAAACACATGCTGATCGTTCCTGGCGCAGTCTTCACTCTCTTCCTCCTTGGTCTCACATCCGCCTTCTCCCTCCTCGAAGTCATGACCACCCTCATCATGGACACGAATTGGGGCCGCAAACTTCCTCGCTGGGCTGTCTGCACTATTGTCACTATCATCTCTGCTCTCATTTCCCTGATCTATTGCACTGAGTTTGGTCTGCAAGCTTTGGATGCAGTCGACACCTACGTCAACGATGTCGCCCTCTTCTTCACAGTCTGGTGCGAGACCTTCGCCGCAACATCCCTCTACCGCTGCCGCGACGTCGCCAACCAGGTCGGCTGGCCCGCATACCTCATCTTCACCATCGGGTTCGGTGTCGCTCAGGGTCTCGGTATCCGCGTCGCGTACGGGTCAACCCCCGGAACTGGTGCTGGTGTCGGTTTCGCCTTCTTCATCCTCGCCTCTCTCATCGCTGTCTTCGCAGCCCGGACACCCGCCATCCCCGGCCCACGCTTCTTCGGTAAGAGCGCGTTCATGAGCCGCTTCTGGTGGGTTGCCTTCTACCCTGGACACCAGCTCATCAGGGATCTGAATGTGACTATTGGCGTGGGGAAGAACTGGAGCATTCCCTTTTACTGGGCTGTAATTATGAAGGTATGTTCATATCGTGTTTCCCCACATTTATTCCTTCCATATCGCTGACCTTTTACCCTCACAGTACATCTCCGGCCCCATCCTCGCCATTGTCCTCTCGTTCGCCTACCCCAAGTTCACTACCCAGCACATGTACGACCCCATCATGATCTACGGCTTCAGCATCGTCCATCTCGTCGTACCAACCATTGTTCTTGGTCTACTGATGCCATCGTGGTTCAACTGGATCATCCCATCTGAGAAGGTTCTTCTCGGTGACAAGCCAGTTGCGCCTTTGGAGACGATTGACAATACAAACGCGATCTTGAGGATAGCCAGCGAAGAGACTGGAGCTGCACCGCCGTACGAAGAACCTAAGATGATGGAGGCGAAGTCGACGAAGGTTTGAGCGGACTTTGTTGACACTTCATCGCACGTATGTTTTGTTGTAATGATAGAGGGCGTTGTAGCTGGTAATTAGACACACTCGCTCATATATTTGTAATTTGAACTAGATCTCTACCATCCGAGCGTTCCATACTTCCTACCGCTCTACCTAGGACTAGCCCTAACCAGCCACGCCCTAATCCCCTCCGTATGCCTTCTAGGAAGTCCCTCCCACCTCCCCTCATCATACGTCTTATCCATCTCCCTCAGAATCCCCTGCGCCTTCCTCAACTGCAGTCTCTTCGCCCCCGCCCAAGGCGTCTTATCAATAAACGCATCCGCCTCCCCCACCAACTCCATCCGCTTGTCCCTCACCTCCTTTCCATCCTCCTTCTCCGCATCGCACAACTTACACTGACACCTAAAGCCCCATGTCCTTTCCAAGAACCCCTGCCTAGTCTCGTAATCAAGCGACGCGTCGTACGGATGGAAAATCTCCTCGCCGGCTTTGATGGGCTGAGTAGCCCGGATGATGATCATATCCCCTGCGAATTCTTTGGTCGTGTTGGAAAGGCAGGAATGGTTGATGTAAGCCGCGTGGCGCCAGAGTCCCGTGCTAGCATTCCTAGCGCTCTCCTCGCCGAATTGACTTCCAGGCCCGAATCCGTTCCGCGACATGATATCGTGGACGCGGAAGACGTCTACAATAGCACCGTCTTCGTTGCTAAAGATCTGTGGACCTTCGCCTTGGTAGTCGCCGAAAAGATCCATCAACTTCTCTGTTTGAGAAGGCTGGTTCAGACATTTCTGTACGAGTGCTTTCGCGAGACCGACAGGTGCGACACGGATTCGGTCGTCGCGCGTGTCGTACGTCATGGCTGTTAGAGTGTCTTCTTCGTGGCCCCATACTACGCAGAAGGCTTTCTCGCACATTACTATGTCGCCGGTGGCGAGGTCACGTGTAGCGTATAGGCCGCGGCCTTTTCCGGGACTATCTTTTACGAGCGTGTTTTTGGTGAAGTTTCCGGCGTCGACGCGTGAGCGGGCTTTGGAGAGGTTGGTTCGGATCTTCATTAGGTCGTAGCTTCCTGTTTCTTCTTCGCGGAGACGGGCGTCGATTTTCTTGAGTGAAAGTTTGGCGTCTTTGTCGTCCGGGGTGAGCTTTTGTTGTTCGAGGAAGAAGCCTTTCGCTTCTTCCCAGTGGCTTTGGGCGTATGCTGCTGAGCCGGCGCGGTAGTAAGCTTTGCTGTCTAGTTCTTTGGACTTTTGGTCTTCGCGTCCGGTTAGTGAGGCGCGGGCGTCAGTCTTTACTTCATCTAGTCGGCCTAGTAGCAAGTTCACGTATGCGCGATTCCGGGAGATGTCTCGTGCTAGATCGGGGTTCGATTCTGCTAGGATGTCTTGCTTTGCGATTGCTAGACCTGCTGTGTACTTCTCGTGGGCCAACGGGAGATCCTGCTTCTTCAGCGCGTTGTTGCCGTGAGTCTTGAATCTTGTGGCTGCCTTTTCTGCTGCGGCCGCATCCTCGAAGCTCTTTGGGCCTTCTTCATGGCAAATGACCAGATCTGAAGGATGGTCGATGCGTAGTGTAGGCTCGCCCTGTTCAGTGAGGGTGAAGTATGGCTCCTTGATGATGAAAAGCTTGGTCGACTCTAGCACATCCTCGCTATACCGCGACTTGTGCAGCAGTATTTCCAGACGCTCTGCATCAGTTCCGTCTTCATTTTGAACCATAGTCCATGACCTCGCAACCAGTGTGACAACAGGGCTTTCTCGCTTCACGACCAGTTTGCGGCCTCGGTGATGCGTCTCCATCTTGAGATCTGACATCTTCATCGGTTCCAAATCTGACAGTGGAGTCGTGCATGGTGGATACGGCCGGCCTACTCCGATGACTGGAATCGTAGTTGACGTCTTCCCCTGGGTTTGCAGCATATCTGGATCTGGCGCGCCGCCCATGTCTGCCATTAGAGCCGCGCCGGTGGCCGCCTGGTGAGCAGCCAACTTGTCTCTTGGAGCCTTTGCATTGCCGCTTTGCTCATCGCACTTTTTTAACCGATCTTTAATGGTGTTCTGGATGCGCTCCGCCTCTTTCTCTGTGAGGTAGATTGTGTTGTCTTCTCGTTGGCTGTTCGCCATCTTTCCGACCTGTGCCGTTGAGCCCCAACCGGCTTCTGTAGATTGGTCACACAGCGTTGCTGGGGTCCTTCTTCGCCCACCAGAATTTCGACCGTTTCCGGATGACTTGGTTGACAGTCGCGGCTTGTCAAAACTTTGCGCAACGGTCTGGCGATAAGACTCAAAAGGGAATATGAGACGAAAGTACGCGACGCGGTACCCAGAGTTCAAGATGACAGAATTAATTTCTGGTTGAGTCAAATTCTTTCTCACATGAAGCTTGACACCACATGCGCAGGCGCATTTCGGAGGGGTTGAAGCTAGCTGAAATTTGTTATCGATAAATGCGGGGCTAACCGCGACACCTTGGAAAGCGGAACTTGAAGCCGCCCTTGAAGTTTACCAACGCCGAACATTGACCGTGCTAAAGAAAGACCATCACGATCTACTTCCACACACTTGAACTTTCTGCACCCGCCTCTTTGCCTTTCTGATACGTCTCGCTCAGGCTGTTGTAAAGACTTTTGACCCTGTCGATCTCACCCAGTAGCCGCTTCCTCTCGCTCTCATCTTCAATCTCCCCGACAACATCGACAAAGCTCTTCGCAGTGAAGAACTTGTTCTTACGATTGTAGAGCTGCCTGCTTTGTACCTGCTCTTCACTCTCGCCCTCCCCTGGGACCCGAAACACCTCTTGCAAGATGTCGATATCGTACGGGATTCCGAAGAGATCCCGGCTATCTTCGTACGTGAACAAGTAGTAGAACTCGTTGAAACCCGCCCATGTGATGCCGCTCAGACATAGCGAACATGGCTCATGGGTAGCGAGAAAGATGCAGTCTTTGGCGGGATGAGGTCGCGTTGAAGGATCGGGGAAGTCGACAGTGCAGAATTGTTGGATGCAGTTGATTTCGCCGTGCAAAAGGGGTGAGATGCGTTCGTTGTTAGTAGCGAGAGTGTATGGTGTGAGGTCTTTGCGAGCGATAATGGCAGCCCCAAAGAGTTTAGAGCCGCTCGAGACGCCTTTCTGCGTCAGAGGTATGATGCTCTTTTCGATGATAGATAGCAGGCTTGAGACGAGGTCCTCGGGCGGCGATATTGCTGAAGTTGTGTGGGAAGACATCTCGTGAACGCTGAGTCGAATGAACGAAGATCGAGTTCATAAAGTTCGCGAAGTCAGCCTTTGGGTTATATGGCTGTCAATGTAGACTGCAGGTCATGCATCCGCTTATCGTTCAATAAGTCCCTTGATGGCGTTACTCTCGATCTACATGTCGGGGGCTACCGGTGGCGCACGACGCGGGGCTTCCCGATAGACCTACAGTGGGGCGCTGCCGTCCGCAGGCGTAGACTCATGGCTCTTTTCATTTGTGGTTCTACACGGTCTCTTCGTACGAAGGCTCGCACCAGAAATCGTGATTGCGCGCAATGAACATGCTGCACAAGGTCCGTGGTTAATCGATCACAAGTGCGTTCACACTCGATGTGCAGCGCTTTTGGTCAACGAATCTGAATCACCTCTGGCTGCAATCCACCCGACAGTAGATCATCGAGTGGGTGAGGAATGCCTTCCATCTTCTTCCTGTTCACAGCTGCCATGTATGAGCCGCCAACGATACGATAAAAGTCATCCTGTGGACGCAAGATCATAGGACAATCGGTGTTCCACAATAGGGCGACATGATCCCCAGGCTGAGCGGCGGCCGGACACATTCCAACGTAGCCCTGCTGGGTGATGTAAAACCTCTTGAAATAGCCATGTTCGCCTATTTCTTTATCTAGCAGGGCTGGGTTTCCTACAGATGCAATCTCGCTCGTCTCTAATAGCAGCTGCGCTATGGACCTCAGCATGGCATACTCTCCGTATTTTGCATATTTCGCTATCGCTGCCGGAGATATTTCCCACGGGTGTTGAGAAATCGTGTAGAAAGCACTGACGTGGTTTTCGGAAGTCATGTAGTAGGTAGCGGTCTCACATAAGTCTGTCATGACGGCCTTGTATCCAGGGTCCGCTTCTCTAGGCCTGATATGCTCTTCCCAGAAGCTTTCCAGAATGGTCCCCGGGAGTCTGAACTGCACAAACTTCATGGTGTCCGAGAGAGCCACAATTGTGTCTAAAGTAGCACTTAGCACGTTGAGAGTGTCAATAGCGAGCGGGTCGAGGTATGTTCGTAACATAGACAGCAGCTCGGAACCGCATCCCGTAAACGAGATGCCACTCTCTACGGAAAGACCGGAGAACTTGCAAATTTCGTGCAGTCTGTGACAGAATGGAAAATTATTGACGAGAGGCAGGTCCCAATGTGGTGACCACGATGGCATGTCGCCTGGCTGCCACTCTTCTAGCTGTTCCCCATGTTGAACTGCTAAGAAGATGTCTTCCGTCAAACCTCGCTGCAAGGCCCGAATAGCAAATTGCCGATAGACGTGCTCTACAGGTAAAGTATAGTCCGGTATGGTAGCTTCAGCTAGCGATTGTCCAGCGGGGTCTGCTGCTGCCCAACGGTCATCACCGCATTCTAGTCCCAAGATTGCGAAGATCCGATCGCGACTGTCTGAGCATCCAAATGCCCTGGCTGTATGGATAGTTCCCATAAAACTCGTCGCGTAGCAGCGTTGATCCTTGATTGCAGACAATCGGGATATGGGTTCGAGCAGCGTAGACTCGTATGGCGTAAAGCGCCACATCACGTCTGGCTTCTGGAGGTTGCTGACAGCCAGGTTGATATGTGTCCATTGAATTTCCTCCGCGCCCCACAAGAAGAGTAAATCCTTTGCAAGTGCGAATTCCTGTATGATCCAAACACGCCCCCACCATGGACGCTCACTGAAGGCGCGAAGGAAGTACCACCCCCCAGGAAATCTGTTCATGCTTTTCAATGTAGTCTCGAGCTCTTCGAGCTCCATGTCACGCTGGCCCAGCTTAAGACAGAAATCGAATGCGTTGCGGGCCTCGCCACAAAGATCAGGACCTAGCCATACGAGGACTCGGTGCGCATTCCGGTAGACACGTTGCATGAGCTGTACCTGATGTGACTTCTCGACATCGTCGGTTTGATTGATACACAGTCCGTCTATCCATACTGTTCGATTCCGTTCCGGTAACCGGATGCGTAGGAGAGCCTGGTGTAGACTAGAAGTCACTGCGACGACCTTGAAATCGCATGTGATGGAAGATGACAAATCTGAGTCTCCCCAGACGTACGAAACGGCCTCATACTCTGGGTTGCTGGCGAGATCGCGATGCTCCAGGCTGCATGTGAGAGGATCCCTTTCGGGGGCAGGATGGATGTGCAAAACCCGAATTGTTGTCGCTGACGTCAGCGGCTTGTACATGGCGTGGAGAGACTGTTGGTCTTAGCGGACTAGTGAGAGTGGATTGGAGCACGATGTAGAAGATGAAGGTCTTCTAGCAAGGCAGCCGCGCGGATAGGATCGGCAGAGCTGGAAGACAAATGATGGAACAATAATGTGCCGAACAAACTGTGGCCTTGCATAGCTAGCTGCAGAAGGTTGGCTAGACGCCATTGGACAAAGGGCGAAGAGGCGCATGCTGAACTCGGGTTGGATGTGTAGGTGCAAGCAACTGCCAGAGTGTTAAGGGGATGTCCGTGCACGGACGCCAGTGACTCACGTGAACAGGCGCAGGACACGCTCGACGCGTCGTGTATTCTGACATGCTTCACCACCTCAAAAGATATCGACCACCCATGCACTGTCAAAAGAGAAGTAATCTAATCAAATGGACATTTGATTGATTCCTCAATTGTCATTACACTAGCCTCACAAATCGACAAACTCACCCTTCAGCAGCGGATCGTCGCGCACCTGCTGCAAGTAGCTCTCCACCTTGGCCGTCAACGCAGGCACATTGAATCCGAAGTACTTATAAGCAGCTTTGCCCGGCAAGCTGTGCCCAAAGCGCTTCATGCAGCAAGCTGCATCGGCATACCTCTCCCACCCGTTCGGCGCGAACGGCTCAATGACAACAGCCGGAATCCCGCGATGCCTTTGCAGCGTGTCGCGCTTGTATTGTGTGGGTTGAGCATCGAACAATCGCTGACATGGGAAGCTCACGATACGCGCCTTGATATTCTTCGCCCTTAGCTCCTTCGCTGTATCAACTGCATGATGCAGCTCCGCGCCGACACCGATAAGCGTCACATCCGCGTCCTCGACCTCCTCGATCACGTATGCGCCCTTCGCAACCAGGCCCCGATTCGTTTGCGGTAGTTGAGGAAGAGTATGCCGAGACGTCGAGATGATGCTCGGTGTATTCTTCGCCTCGATCGCTGTAATCCACGCGCCTGCCGTCTCCTCGCTATCGGCCGGTCGAATGTACAATATATTGGGCATAGCGCGGTAGAGATTGGCAAGTTCAATCGGCTGATGGGTTGGGCCATCTTCGCCCATTCCGATGCTGTCGTGTGTTGCCGCATGTATGACCTGAAGGCGTTGCAGCGCACCCATGCGAACAGCTGGGGCTGCATAAAGGTAGAACATGAAGAAAGAAGATGTAACGGGGATAAAAGTGTTTGACGCGTATGCTGCCAAACCGTTGGAGATGGCGCACATGGCATGCTCTCGCACACCATAGTGGATATAGCGTCCGCTGTAGTTGCCGACAATGCCACATGTGGTCTTCAGGTCGGGCTAGGTGGAGTTAGCAATGATGCTTCCAACCGGATGAGCACAGCTTACATTCTGGAAGTCGACTTTGCCCTTCCAGTTCATGTTGACCGAAGGCGTCAGATCAGCGGTGCCGACCATGAAGTTATTGATCTTCTCAGCAATCGTGTTGAAGACAAGGCCTGACGCTTTCCTTGTTGCTGTAGGCGCCTCAGGAAATGAACTTGGGACCAAATCCTTCCAATTCTCTGTCAGACGACCTTCGACTCGGCGTCTGAAATCGGCACCCTCCTCCGGGTACTTGCTCTGGTATTCGTCCACTTTCTTCTCCCAGGATCTCACGAGCTCCTCGCCCCTCGCTGGAATGTCTCCGAAGAACTCACGCACTTCTTCGCTGACAACGAAATGTTCCTCAGGGTTGAAGCCGTAAGCTTTCTTCATGTTGGCTACATCAGCTGCTCCGAATGCCATGCCATGTGCAGTGGCATCGCCTGCGACAGCACTACCGAGACCAATCACTGTCCGGACGTTGATGAATGTGGGCTTCTCGCTGGATGATCGCGCTTTGTTCAGAGCTTCAACAAGGCCTTCGATGTCAAAACATCCATCTTCAATGTCGATGATGTCCCATCCACATGCTGCCATCTTGGCGTTGACGTCCTCGGTGTTGGTCAGGTCGACGGAACCGTCGCAGGTAACTTGATTGTTATCGTAGATGATCGTAAGGTTGTTGAGCTTCAGATGGCCAGCGAACGAGATCGCTTCCAGAGCAACACCTTCCTGCAGACAGGCATCTCCAATCATACACCATGTGTGGTTCGACACGACGTCGAAATCTGGTTTGTTGTAGATCGCCTGAAGGTTCTTTGTCGCCATTGCCAGTCCGACCGCATTGGCTACGCCCTGTCCTAATGGGCCAGTCGTCACCTCGATGCCTTCATGTTCGATCTCGGGATGTCCTGGGCACAGCGCATCGGTGCGCTCTGAGTGGTACGACTTCAACTGGTCGAAAGTCATGGCTTTGTAGCCTGTGAGGTGGAGAAATGTGTACTGGAAAAGACAAGTGTGACCATTCGACAGGACGAATCGGTCTCGGTTGAAGTAGTCAGGTGTATGTGGTGCGTATCGCATGACATACTTCCACAACGCGACACCGATTGCCGCCATACCAATAGCTCCTCTGTTGCATCGTCAGCTTTGCTACAACAAGTACTGATTGGTACCTACCCAGGATGTCCGCCATTGAATTGCTGACATAGATCCGCGATGAGCAGTCTGAAAGTTTTCAAGACATGATCTTGCTCTTTTGACAACTTCTGGACAGACGACTGTTCCAGCTTCGCCTCTTTCTTCAGTCCATCTACGACATTCTTGCCGTAACCGGTCGAGCCGCTGACCTGCGGTGAGTCTTGCGAGGTATGCATTATGTGAGGTTGTGCGGAGTCTTGCGAGGTGCGAACTTCACAATACAAACATTAGTAGTTCTACAGATCAAACAACATCAAGAGGCGCATCATACATAAGTACTCCTCGTGCTGCTCTGAAAACTAATCTTCGACGTCTATCCAGAACATTTGGCCGGGCATGCCACATCCGGTAATCCGACGCGTCGCTATTGCGGAGGCAAGCTCGGTGTCTTCGATTCCTATTGGGCGACAGGACTCCAGACTAGACGAATTAGGTAACCAGAGCCACCAACACACTACGTTGTCAGTCCCGCTGGATGTTTCCCCGCATTTTGCCACGACTATTGCGTATTTCGGTCTCCAGGTTGAGGATTGGATTTCCATTCTGGCAAGAATGGAAATTTGGCGCGCTGAACATGTGGGGCTACTTGATACACCTCTACCCGTTTCCCCCAAGTTGACGACAGTTGCTCTTACTGGTGGTGATCGATCTTTACACCGCGACAAGGAAACATGACCCCAGCACTGGTAGATTCGTCATCCGCTTCCGAAGCAGATGCGACACCGAAACCTACTATCAAGACACCACTGCCAAATCCCTCGCTGCAAGTCACGGCGGACCACAACTTGAAGCTTCAAGAAGCGCCTGTGTATGCACCAGCAAAGGGAGAAGTACTCTTACATATCAAGGCTACAGGTGTTTGTGGGTAAGGCATCTCAACATGACAGGCACTTGCGAAGCTGACAACGGTGTGCCAGATCTGACATTCATTTCTGGAAAGCTGGGAGGATAGGCTCGCTCGTCGTCGAAGGAGATTGTATCCTCGGTCATGAAGCAGCTGGCATAGTTCTACAATGCGGCGAAGGTGTTACGACTCTCAAGCCTGGTAGAGTCACCTACCTACCCTCTCATCACTAATTAACAATTACTCCAGGCGACCGTGTAGCAGTCGAACCCGGCGTGCCATGTGGCACATGCTTTCTTTGCATGGACGGCCGCTACAACCTCTGTGAAGATGTCCAGTTCGCCGGCGTCTACCCATACCACGGCACAATCCAACGCTACAAAACGCATCCCGCGAAATGGTGCCACAAACTCCCCTCCAGCGTATCATATGCCGAAGGCGCACTTCTCGAGCCACTTTCCGTCGTCATGCACGGTATCAAATCCGCCGGTCTATCTCTAGGACGCGGTGCAGTAATCTGCGGCGCAGGACCCATCGGTCTCATCGCGCTTGCTGCAGCGAGAGCCAGTGGAGCGCATCCGCTTGTCATCACGGATCTTGAACCTAAGCGCCTGGCATTCGCAAAGCAATTTGTACCAACGGCTTCCACGTACCAGGTGAATCGCAACCTAGATGCGCAGGGCAATGCGAAGAAGATTAGAGAGCTGTTCGACTTCGAGAATGTCGGTGAGTATGGTGCACCAGAGACCGTCCTTGAGTGCACAGGTGTGGAGAGCAGTGTTGTTACTGCTGCCTATACTGCAAGGAGAGGGGGTACCGTTATGGTCATTGGAGTTGGGAGGGAGATTATGAATAATTTGCCGTTCATGCATTTGAGTCTTGCTGAGGTAGGTGGACTACGCTTCATCTTGTTTACGTTGATGAGCATATTTGAGACGGTGTTTGCTGATGATTGCTGTAGATTGATCTCAAGTTCATCAATCGCTATCGCGATACATGGCCTTCTGGCCTTCAATGTCTGGCTGGTGGTATCCTTGATCTGAAACCACTTGTCAGCCATACGTTTCCGCTGGAGAAAGCGCTGGATGCGTTGCACACTTGTGGCGATTTGAGCAATGGTAGTATCAAGGTGCAGATTATCGACGAAGTGAATGATGTGTTGTAGCAAAGTTCAGCTCGGCGAATCAATGACGTAAATTTTCGGCTTGACAGAACGGTTGTTGATGCTCGTCGCTTCCCTTCGATGGCTTAGACGTCTCCTTCCCCGCTCATCGAGCACATAGCTTGATTTTACCCCAGACTGTACGAATGATCGTCCCACCAATTGCAGCATGATTTCCAGCTTGCAATCCTTCGGAGTGCACTTCTGAGGGCGGCCGGGAGAACTTCGGTCACGCTTCGACGCCACCATTGGGCAGCAAAGTTCCGGCAAAACCTCGGATGCGCCAAAGTAATATGAGGGGAATAGCTCTCTTGGAAACATTCACGATGCGACATGAAGGGATGCCTCATACGTACCGACATACCGGATCTGGGGAAGCTCACCAACGCAACCCTTGACTGAGATGAGTAGACACGACGATCGAACACCAGCACAGCGGCAAACGTGCTAATCACATAACCCGATCAATCACAACATCGCGACGGGACTGTCTGCGGTAACTTCTTCACTACATGCGCATGAATTTATCCGTCATGTAAGGCGACCTTCACCTTGCAACAAATCCTATAAAACGCTGCCTCGCGTTCTCCAGAACTATGCACGATCTCTGAGCCGGGGTGAACCTGGTCTGAATCATTCTGTCTACATCCGTCACTTTCGTCACAGCAGCTTCGTTGTAATCATCCCTCGTATCTTTGCAGACCATCATGGCTCTAGACAACGATGAAAAGTCTAATACCGTCGAGTTCATAGAACGCCTACCGGAAGGAACGACTACCGCGGCTACATCCGGACTAGGTCATCTCGCCAATCAGGAAGACCATGAGGTTGGGAAACTTGCGTCCTTCCGCAAGTACCCTTGGGCATGTGCTTGGTCGATATACATGGTGTGGTTAGTGCTACTCGTCAGCTTTGAGAACCAAGCAGCGGGAAGTGTTATCGGTATACCCAAGTTCAGGGAGGACTTTGGCCATCAGTTTACTGCGGACGACGGGACTGTGAGTTATGTCATTGACGCTCAGTGGCAGTCGGCCTTCCAGGGCGCACCTGTAGCTTCGTAAGTAACCCATGTCGATGAGAAGTTTGAGCACACTAACGATCTAGTGCTATCGTGGGTGCCCTCGGATGCGGTCAACTCGCTGACTGGCTTGGCCGACGCCTAGTAGTCATCATCTGTCTCGCAGTCACCTTTGCCGCAATAACCATGGAGTTCGTCGCAACGACCAACCATATGTTTTTCGGTGGCAAGTTCCTGAACGGGTTCGTCGTTGGCGCCCTAGCATCCGTCACCGTCACATACATCGGTGAAGTCGCCCCGTTGAAACTCAGGGGCATGTTGACATGCTTGACTGCCCTTTCGTACACCCTCGGACCACTCACAGTCGCGCTCATCGTCAACTCCACGGGTGTATACACCAATCGTTGGGCATATCGCGCTGTCTTTTGTGCTCAGTACGGATTCGCTGGGGTAGCTGCAGCTTTCGTTTGGTTCATGCCTGAGTCGCCATGGTGGCTTGCATCCAAGGACCGCCAAGCTGACGCACTTAAAGCTCTCAACAGCCTTGGTCATCGGGGTTTTGCAGGTGAGCAAAAGCTAGCTCAGATCATGACGACTCTGCAAGAAGTTAGGCACGAGACCGAAGGCGTTACATACCTGGATTGTTTCCGTCGGTCCAACCTCCGGCGAACCATCATCTCGGTCATGCCACTGACTATCCAGTCACTCAGCGGCATCATGTTCGCAGCCTCTTATTCGACATACTACATGCAGCTCGCCGGCTTCACCACCGCCATGTCGTTTAAGTTGCAGATCGTGCAGCAAGTCCTCTCTCTACTCGGAAACGTCGTACCTTGGTACCTAGTTGACCGTATAGGTCGTCGCAACCTCACCTTCTGGGGACTCTTTGTGCTCACCATCATCCTGTTCGTCATGGCCGGTCTCGCGGTCGTCGGCACGGTACCCGCACTCAAAGGCGCTATCAGTATGATCCTACTCTATTGCTTCTGGTATAATGTCACCATTGGCGCGACTGCTTATACTATCCTGTGCGAGACATCAACTTCACGTCTTCGCATCAAGACCATTGCCATCGGTCTCGCTCTCCAGAACGCGCTTAATACCATGTGGAGTTTTGTGTTGCCCTACCTGTTCAACCCCGACCAGCTCAACCTCGGTGGAAAGCTGGGTTTCATCTTCGGTGGCTTGTCTGTTGTATGCTTGGTGTATCTTTGGTTCTATCAGCCTGAGACGGCGGGTCGGACTTACGAAGAGTTGGATGAGATGTTCGTTAATCGAGTCAAGGCGAGGAAGTTTGGAACGCACAGGACGGATGCGCAAGCTATGGGTCAGGCAATGAGGCAAAAGGAAGCCGCATAGATTGCTGAGGTAACATGACGTTCCAGCAAATCGAACAATCGCTTGAGCAGCAAGCTCAATGTCTTTATAGAAAAGACGATATATTCTGCGAGAGTTTACTCCTCAACTGTCCGCACACAAATTTTCCGCATACCTTAACGATCAGATACAGCTACATACATGCCACCCAATACTATGGACACCACGATCATAACATCAGACGATGCGCAGCCACCAGATGATACAGGCCTAGTCAAACTATTGACACGAATCCTACCAGCACAGGACATTGTTTTACGCCTCGTCAGTATTCGTGACATTGTTGCACTCTCTCGCACCACCAAGGCGTTCTGTGGACTCGTTGGTCTAGTGGAACGCACACAGTTCAATATCAACAAAAGACTAAAGCGCTTCTTCACAGACCCGAAGGCATTTCGTGCGCTACAGGCGAAGCACAACATCATCATTACTGGAACGTTCGCGCTCGGCTTCATGTCAAGGAAGTGTCTGAGCTCTGATTTGCAAGAATACGATACAGGCCTGTTGAACAGAGTTCTGGTGCAACACGGGCCAAATGCGGAAGCCCTAAGATCCTTTCTCATTGGAGAGGGATATGATCTCAGAGGCACGAAGCCTTTCCCAAATGTGAGTCCTTCAATGCACTCTCTATCTTGTCTGCCAACATAGCCAACTAGCAATCTAGCACTCAATCATGGTCCGTGGCAACGGCCTCAAATATCGATACGTAGCGTTCATCGAGACGGATAAATCTCCTTTCTCCTGGATAGGAAACGCGAATTTCACATGCGACGTCAACTTTGTCACATGGAATAAGGCATACTCGGTATTCGCGTACCAGACCTTTATCTTGAATGAAGGTTACTTGCTCAAGCACGTTGCAGACACAGGTGCGGATCGAACGCTGAAAATGTGGGATAATATCGGCATCAGCATTGCTCCGACAAGTCTTCAGGATACGCTTTCACTGGAAGCGAGCACTGATCCGTCGAGCACCATTTCAACTTCGTCAATGTTGAGAAGACGGCTGATCGGCGACAGACGCTCATGGATCATACCTCTCAACACGGATGGTATCGAACCACCGCCGTTCCCGGATCAATCCTTTGACTACGCTGGCTTCGAAGTCACGATGCCGACTCAGCACGGAGACGATGTATCTGCGACTGACGAATCATCTCCATTCAATCATTACACCATCAAGACGACCATTCTGAAGAGCCGTGTCTTGCGACATCAATATGCGTTCGCTGATGGAGCTCGCGCAGAGCATCGCCGCTTCAGGGATCGCACCGCTATGCAACTCTACGCTCTACCGAGTGAACAACGACCTCCTGGATTCGCTCAGATATTTTCTCAGAGGCAGAACGTGGACTTGGATGGCATCGGCGACTTTGTGCCACCGGGGGGATGGGTCTATCACGACGACGAGATAATCAAGATGTTGGAGATGAGGTAGGTATCCGGGGGCTGTACGAGTTATCAAGAGGGGGGAATAGCAGTGCAGCAGAATTACCGTGTATGGCGATCGTGTCAGAGCGGTTATCAGCATGTAGGAGGTAATACTGCGTAAATTCTAGCTAGCATACAGAGTACCCACGTCCATAGCGCGACTCCTGCATCCCACACCTCGATCAACCCAGTAGCCAACGACTGTCTTTATCCCCACAAACCCATACTGCCCCAGCACCTTTTCTCCATGTTGCTTCAGCCCCAAACGCCGTCCCTCATCCTTCATCCTGCAATCCGAATCCTCGCGCCTCCTCGGTAACCGAAGACCCCGGACCCAGCTATTTCAAGTGCCTACGTTTTCATACACGCGACATCGCCACGTGCGCACCCACTATGCCAACGCATCACATCACAAATCAAGAAAGGCCTACTATGCGGCAGCTGGACGTGGGGGCCGGGTAGCGGGAATAACGCGTCAAAGGAAATGGGATGAATGGGAGCTCGGCGTCTAGCAGGATTGTAGTCGCCGAAACCTCGAATATGCAGGGCTTCCGAAAATGGATCTGCTGTTGCCATAGTAGGTGGGTTTAGCGTGAATAGTGAGCTTGGTGTTCGAAGGGGTAAATGTGCTCGTGACGGTGGGAGGCTACACAGGTCTATGAGCTGAGCGATCATGGTGGGATTTTTGATCTGAGCAATCTGGGATGAGCACATGCGTTGAAGTAGTCTGTTGAACTTAATGTATATTCTGAATTCGCTATAAAAATGCAGACAATGCAATGGGGTCGAGTGGTGATGCCGTATTCGAACGTGTATGATCCCATACCTCCCGTCTAAGCAACATGCGTGTACTCTCATTTGACGGCTTTGGAAGGTGCGTCATGTTCACTGGCATCGTCATCCAAATCGTCGTCCCATTCATCCCTCCTGACGCCACTCTGTTCGGCCACTGAAGTAGCACCAGGCGGTGGCGCATCGTCATCGCTCTCGTCCTCGAATGCGGCTGGATCGGCCAGTGGTTGACTCTCTGGATCTACATTCCTTCTCTCTTCGGGGCTAGTCCTCTTTGGCGCACCCTCCACTCCTTCATCCGCAGAGACGGAGATGCCCCTCCGACCCCACTTGTTATTCGGCTGTGTGGTATCGTTGCGCTGGCCAGCGGTCTCCTCGTCGTAGTCAAAATCCATGCTCTTCCTGCCTACAAACCGGCCAACGATCCATCCGCGACCGAGATCCTCCGAGTCTACCACGCCGCCGTGTCGGAGCTTCACGCGCTGGCGCGTGTAGTACACCCATGCGAAGTCAATCATGAGTGCCGTCTGGATGGAGCCCCAGACCCATGATGTAGGATCGAGATAGTCGTCTTCCTTGACGCCGCGCATGATCCAGTTGAGGACGTATAGGGCGCGGTATGTACCCAGTGTAACTAGATAGTAAGAGTCGATAACGGTGGGTACGGTGGTTTGGCGGAGGAGGAGCAGTTGCGGGATGACGCAGACGGATTCGAGGATTTCGGAAAAGACCCAGAGAAGCTATTATATCAGTATTCAACCATGTTATGAAGTTGTCTAGGGATCTTACCTTCATGAAGGTGCTGTGCCCCAGAACGTGATCCCTAACCATAAGGTACCAGATCGGGGTGATGAGGATGCTGCCTAACAGACAGTACATGCCAAACTTCCATGCCTTCTCTCGCTCCCGTGTGCGCGCGTATACACTTGTCATCAGGAAGATGATGTACAGCGATGATAGCGTGTAGAATATCTAACCGGTCAGCCGCGTACGCGTAGACATATACCGGGCCTCCGTACCTTCAGGGAGAAGTTCCACGTATGCCACCCATCTTTGGTGATGGAAGAGCTGAAAATATCGAGATATCGCGTGCCGAAGACGAGCGCGTAGAGGACCTGGGTGATGAGCGATACACCTGCATACGTCAGCCCATGTTGCAAGCTTCATGTGGTGATCAGATCCAACTCACCCTCAGCACTGCTGTTGGAGTGTATCGCCCATATCAATATGAGCTTCGATGACGTATGCGAGACGTCGCCGAGGATGTGAAAGAGGTTGAACCCCATCTTGTGGATAAATAATGCTATGCGACGGCTACACAGCACTAGGCCAGCCGCCTGTCGCCTACGTGTTGGGGCTCAAAGCGCGCTTCCGGCACTCGGTGCCAATAAGAGGATCGGGAATAAATAGGTGCCGGCGCGAGGATGTGCAGCACCACTTCCGGTAGGATTTGGGGTCAACGATAGGAAAGGACGGGGAGGCGATGGATGGGCTGGTTGGTGATGCGTAATGTCTTCCCCGGGTTTGACGCAAGCTACCACGCTACATGTAACGTGCTTGGCAATTCCCAAGGGTCCACACTAGCGCGTCACATGCGGCCTAGTCGCTCGAGCTAGCCTGGAGAATCGGAACGCAAGGCTGCAAACTCCACATCTAGTTCTCAGATATGTGGTCTAGCTTCGAGGATTTGCTGGAGATTAAAGATTGTTGGCGAGCTTAGACGATGTTGAGAATTGCGTTTGCATGCATGCGTCTTTCTCGATAGGCGGTCGGACTGTGCACCGATCCGGCATAGGCTACCGACTGCTTGGTCAGAACGCTCATCGTGAGCTCGTAGCTCAGGAGTTTCGATCTACTGAAATCCATTCCCAGCAAGCGTAACTCTTAGATCGACCCGTACATCACTCGAGGGGCAACATTTGCGAGGTCGGGTGCCAGTGGATCCGGACTAGAGGACCCCGAGAGGCTCGTTTCGCTTTTAAACCACAGCCCGCGTGCTTGTGCAAGTCATTGTATGTTACTAAAGGATTGCTCATATCGCATAAAGAGTTGAAGTCAAAAGCGGGACCACATCCCAGATGTATGGCACGATACTAGTCGGGCGGTGTGAGGCGCAGCGAGCGAGCCAAGCAAACATTGTGGCTCAACACACGCCCCATACTATTCTGAGATGCGAAGCCCACAAAGCCTTGCGAACGAGCGTCTATATCGTCCGCAAGTCCGTCGCAATAGTTCAGTACGTCAAAGTAAACTACAGCGCCGCATAGGTGCCACTCGCAGCCTCATATCGGTGCTTCTCACGGCGAAGATCATGGACGCCTGGGTCAGGACTCCAAGGCCTCCAACGTGGCGCGCGGGACGGATGGCAGCATCCCTAGGCCAGGTACACAATCCTTCACTGTACCTACGTATACTTCGAGAAGGTCATATGTGTTCCGCGTCCGTAACGGTGAAGATGTTGCCGACTCTAGGCGGGCATGCAGTGGTTGCGATGTGAGTGGCCAACTTCGTCACTTCGCAATATCTCAGGCAAAAGTGCGGATCTAGCCCTCAGCTCGCGTGCAACAGTACGCTGTACGGCGTAGTCATTGCAAATACCCGCGATAGAACAGATCCACCAAGTGCCGCAACGTGTATATTTCCATTTACACGTCAAAATGGTTGTCAACCGGGAAGGCTGAGTGAATCAAGGCAGATTCTGCACCCATAAAAAAAGCAAGACAGAAACTGCAAGTCGAAGGACGAACGTAAAACAATGGGGTCGTAGCTATATCAAGAGTCAAAAGGCAGTGTACCGAGATCTGGAGCCGCCGCTTGCTGCGGTCGCAAAGTTCAGTGCGTCACCGTGGGCACCACCCACGCTCCACTCCACGGGAAGACCATGAAGGACTCTCTTCAACACAAGAAGTGTCGCAGGTATTCTGCCGATACGAAGCCCTCGACGAAACACGGCAAACAAAGTGACGAGTGAGGATCATGGTTGGAAGACAACAAGGAAGCGGGGTTTCCGGGCACTGGACCGCCGCACAAACGAAGTCTTTTAGCCGTTCAACAACGCACAGCCCAGATTGACTAGTAGCAGATATGTACCATGGCGGTGGGGGGTCACACCCACTGAGCATTGTGCGGAAGGTCGCTGTCGGCGGTATTCCACGGAGCAGACCCGTGGTGTGGGGCGAGAATCGACATGGCAGACGTAGACGCTAGCAAGCGACGTGATGTGGATAGCAGTGGTGGCAGTGATCTTCGCTGATATCGTGAGCGAGTGCTGTGTGAGAGGTGCGACGAAGAGGAGGTGAGTTGGAAGGGTGGGAACAAGGACGAAAGGGGCGAATTAGCGGTCATTGCCCAGCCGAAGCGTATATTAGCGGCCAATGAAAATTACCGCAAGCGTGCATTTAAGCGCCGTCGCGTCCTTCGCTCTCAGCTTACGCACCATATGCGGGGCAATTTACTGGCTTTGAGGTACCTCGACGGCACAGCTGTCCAGGCGCACCGAATGGGAAGACACGGCTGGCCAAATTTCCTCGCTGCTGCGCGATGGAGTTCAACCCTTGTTGACGGCATCCTATGGCGCCGCCAGCACAGACAGGTTCGTCAATATCACGCTGCATCGAAAAGAGATTAACCTACTGGGTAGCGACTGTGGGAGGAGTCTCAGACGTCAGGGCCGACGTCAGGGTGGCCGCCTTACTGAAGGTTACATTCACCTTCCACCCTCAAAAAACAACAGGTATGCGCACTAGCCACGGTGCCGTGTAGCGGGCACACCCTGGCCGGCCAGGCGTGTAGCGGAATCCGATAGCAAGGCTGCCGCGACGCCCACACGGTCATGATCACCGTTGTTGCAGGACACCACCTAGAAAACCCAGCGCAGCGTTCCGGGCCAGCAAATGGGCCGGACACAACCGTCGAGCAACGCTGCATGGCTGGCCAATTCGCGGCTCAAGCGCAAGGCATGGCATGCTGGGGTCAGGGCCGCCAAACCACGAAGAGACAAGAGAAGAGCAGGGTGAAAGCTCGGGGCGCTAACGTGCAGGCCTGACCGTCAGTGCGCAGCAGCATCCTTCAAAGCCTACTGGGGGTGGCACGTTAGAGTCGACGCACTAGAAGTGACCTGCACTCGAGGCCGCTATACCGCTACCATCTTGATAAATATGACTGAGGCGTTCCCCTAGCCTAGTCGTCCAGCTCGAGCCTGAATATCATCACCGTGCGCCGCATCCTCTTCTTGCTACCGCCCGTCTCCAGTCTGCTACATTAGCGACCAGCAGTAAGGCGCAGCACATAAGGTTCTTCAAATCCTACCCGCAGTCGCAGTTGTCATGTCTATCATACTTGAAGGTGCTATCCTCCCTCCGCATCATCTCCAAGACAAGTCAGCCTCGTCCTGGCCAAGTCCCTACCACCCTCAATACTACCCCGCGTTGGCATCCTCGCCTGGCACTATGTCTCCACAGTCGTTCCATTCATACAATCCACGCTTGCCAGAAAGCCCTCTCCCTTCTCAAGAACTCAATTGTCAGCCGACTACTGGGTGGTATGCCCCCTCAATTTCGGCCCCAGAGTGCCACAGCGAGGTTTGTACTTCACCCTTGTTGCGAGATCGGCTGCTCATATGCCGTCGTCTAGACCACATACGCCTCATATGGCTATATACCTCCACACACGGCGCAGGTCAACTTGTCACCGCCTGCGTCTGCGTCCTACTACTCAGCAACAGCCCCAGTGTCCACTGCACATTCATCAACAGCCATCTCTCCAGGTACCGTCTACTCTCGGGACTCCGTGGTACCAGAGTCTACACGCCCATCTGAAGAGCCCCAGTCCGACGCAAGGAGTGTCTTGCACCAGCCCACTTCTCGCTACAGGAGACAGTCTCACTTCATGGATCGGACTCACAGCGGTTCAGACTCGTTGCATTCGGCCGCAGTGGACGGCTCCTGGACGATGAACGCACTAGGCATTCATGCGAATCACGAAGCCTACTACCCGGCATTCCCAACTCATAGTCCCCGAGTGAGCGAGCCATCAACAGAGCTATCGTCAAGCCACATGCCCTCGCCACAACCCCGACGCATGTACACACCGATCGCTCCTCTGCCCCTGGAGACACCCCGTTCGCACGGAACCAAGCGACAGAGGGAAGACGACGAAGAAGAAGAGCCCAAGCGAAGAAAGCGATCGGACTCACAGATGTCGACCCAGTTCGAGCTCAGTGAGGAAGACCGTCTACTTCTTCGACTCAAAGACGAAGAGCACATGCCATGGAAGGACATTGCGGCACGCTTCCTCAAAGATTTCGGCAGGCAGTACCAAATACCAGCACTACAGATGCGTATCAAGCGATTAAAGGAGCGGATGCGTGTGTGGACCGACATAGATGTCCAAGCACTGCGCAAAGCCCATGACTACTGGGTGCAAAACAAGTTCGACATCATCGCGCAAAAGGTGTATACATCACCACCATCAAAACTTAAGCACAGCCACTAACTCTTCTAGATGCTCGAGTACGGCGCAGAAGAGAAATGGGCCGCACGCCAATGCTCTCGCAAATGGCAAGAGATCGATCCAACACCCATACCCTACACGCAGTTCGACCACCACGTCCAGCACGTCCAGCAAGGCTTCGCACCCTACGCGATGAGCCCCATCGAGCCCACGCCCATGAACTTCCCTCCCTTCCTGCACCAGCACCATACCACCTAGTCAACCTCGCCAGTGTCAGCCTCGCTTATTACGGCAGGAGGATGCGGGTAAACCACGCCGCATCGCTCTTCCTTTCTGATTCTTCC